GGGGGTGCGGGAGCAAGCTTGGGGCTGTGCCCCTCCTGGCCCTGCAGCTGCTGCACATGGGCTTTGTCCTCCCCCAGATTCGCTTGGGTTGGTTGGGGGGTGGAGGGGATGGGACAAGGCGGGAGGTGGAAGAACTGTGGGCCAAACACTGACAGCGCGGGCGTATGTGCGGTCTGTTAGTGCAAGAGCTTTGCGTGAGCGGAAGCCTGGCTGCTAGGACGGAGAGGAACCACTGGGAGTAAAATGCACAAGCCAGGACATGCCAGAGGCTCAGCTTCCTGCAACAACATTAATGCTCTGTATTAAGGCATAAACTAAAATGTGCCCTGTGGGACTGTGGTGAGAATTAATGTCACTCTGGGAATCCAAGCTCCTTGATTCCTTGACTTTTTGTGTCTTAATTCTCAAGCTGGTGGTTCGATAAGAAGAGTCATCAGCCCCTCTCGAGCCTGCCCGTTCCCAGAATATCTGACTGCTAAAGCAGGTTTGGGGCTGGCTCTGGTGATGCCTGAGCTGCGAGTAGCCTTTTGTAGCTGCCCTGCCTGGGCTCAGCAACGCAGTGTGCAGCTCTGTCCTGCGGCCGCAGTCTGTCCTGCGCCGCCTGCGGCCCCGTGCCTGGTGTGAGCTGCGTGCCCCGCTGCCAGCGCCGGCCTGCGTGGATGCGCTGCCTGGGGCCGCTGGTACAGGACTGGCGGAGCCGAGGGGGGTCGTTGTTCCATTGTGTCTCTTTGGCACGGGCCGGGAGCCCACGCATCCACTCGAGCAAATCCCATCCTGCTCCCATTCTGCACTTGGATAGATTTTTAGTGCTCCACGTGGGAATTCTGGCCTGACTGTCCTGGGTGGCCTGGCTTCTGCCCTGAGCGTAAGATTTAATTATCCATAGCAAGCAGCATAACTCTGAGAGCCACCATTGTTATTAATGGCCATAAAAAGAGCCATAAAAACCTGGCATGTTAAATTTCTTACAATATATGGTAATGAGGAACAATTTGTTTTCCCTTTTTGGTTTTGACCTCCTTCTCTGCTGTTCCTTGCAGGTCCATACACACACATGCTCCCTTGCACACTCCCTAACCCCGTGACTCCTCCCTGCGTGGGTTCTCCCTTCCTTCCTGGCCTTTACAACCAGCTCCTTCCCCTTGTCCCTCCTGTCCTTCACAGCGTAGGTGTTGCATGTGCAAGTGTTGTTCACACACCTGAGTGCGGGATGCAGACCGTGTGTAGGTCGCTTAGTTTGTCTCCTCTTCTCGGATGTTACTAGCTGTGATATTCAGCTGGGATTTTGGATTTGATGGACCTCTCAAAGGCAGACCCAAACCCTCTGGATGCCGTGCTATGCCAAGTCCTAGCACTCAATAAGCTCTGAATTCTCACAGTGTCTCAGATGTCTTTTTGGAGGGGGACGAGCAACTAAAGGGCCCAGTTGGAGCAGTGGGTGCGCAGCATGGCATCTACTGGTGTCCGCAAAGCTGTGGAGAAAGGTTTCAGTTTCTGCAGTGTTGAATGATGGTGAAGAAAAAGCGCAGCTG